TTATGAAATGAGAAGGCAAACCATGAAGATGGATACCCCCAAGAAGGAGAGAAACTTAACTATCAGAATTGCTGAAGGTTCAGATCTGGAAGATGATGAGATGGCTATGAACACTAGAGATTTTAAAAAGTACCTGATGAAAGGAAAGGGTTCTTCAAGAGGTACAACCTTCAACAAGACAAGAGCTCCTGAGAAACAGACCAATGAGGGTTGCTACAAGTATGGTAAGACTGATCACATGATCAAAAACTGCCCTCAATGGGAAATTGAGTGGAAGAAAGAAAGAGCTGAACGAAGGAACAGGAAGAAGGAACAGGTTCAACCAAAAAGAAACAAAGGTTCAACCAAGGCTATGCTTGCTGCTTGGGGAGAAACCTCAGATGAAGACTCAGAAGATGAAGCTGAAGAAGAGCAAGCACTGATGGCCATCAGAGAATCAAATGATGAACAAGAGGTAAGTATTCTTCATCTCAAAGACAAGATTAAATTCTTGTCTAAAGAAAAGTTGGCTGAGCTATTACTAGACTTCATTGATGAATCTGAAATAATTAACAATGAGAAGGAAGTTCTGTCTAGGGAATGTGTGATCCTAAAAGCAAAATGCAAAAGTCTAGAGTCTAGGGCAAATGAGAGTGAAAAAAAATGCTGAGTTGAAGAACCAGGTTCTTGAACTTGACAACAGTGTCCTAGAACTTAGGTCTGAAAACCTAAAGCTGAAATTAGGAACAGGAAAGAAGAAAGCTGATCACACATATCTCACTCTAGAAGAAAATTTGGGAAAAATGAAAGATGAATTCATCAAAGTCTTAAAGGAAGATCTAGGAAAGGTGAAACATGAACTAGACAGAACTTGCAAGTGGAACAAGGCTTCTGATGCACTCTCCTGGCTGCAAGAGCATCACAATAGCAACAAAAGAGGACTTGGCTATGGGACTCAAGCTCCAAAATGGGATCCTAAAAGCAAGTACCTCACACTTCCTGAAAATAAAATCTGCACACACTGTGGTAAGACTGGCCATTACAAATATGAATGTAATGTAAAAGAAAAGGCCAGTCAAAAGAACAAAGCTTTTGTTAAAGGAAAAAGTAAGCTGCCTGGATGGGCAAGAAGGAATTTGATTCACCCTTTTGCTTATAGAAAGGGACCCAAACTAGTTTGGGTTCCTAAGACTAACCCCTGATTTCCTTTTGCAGGTCCAAGTGAAAGGGAGGAGCCAAATATGGTATATGGATAGTGGCTGCTCAAAACATATGACTGGGGACAAGGACCAGTTCCTTTCACTTGAGGACTTAAAAGGAGGTAATGTCTCCTTTGGAAATGGAAAGAAAGGTGAGATCATTGGGGTTGGAAAGGTAGGCAAAACAGATTCTCATTCCATAGAGAATGTCTACCTGATAGATGGCTTGAAATATAGCCTAATAAGTGTGTCACAACTGTGTGACAGAGGTAACCTTGTGGCTTTTACCTCCACCAAATGCTTTGTGATTAACCTTACGACTGACAAATTGTTTTGCAGGGAAAAAGAGTTAACAATATTTACATTGCAGATTTGTCCACTCTTTCAGAAAATGAACTCACTTGTTTAAGTGTGTTGGTTAATGATCCCCTCCTGTGGCACAAAAGACTTGGTCATGCAAGTCTAAATCAGCTTAACAAATTAGTCTCTAAAGACTTGGTGATAGGGTTACCTAATATCAAGTTCAAGGAAGACAAAGTTTGTGAGGCATGTGCAAGGGGGAAGCAGGTAAGGTCATCCTTCAAAAGCAAGAAAATGGTAAGTACAACCAAGTCGTTGGAACTGGTCCATATGGATCTATGTGGTCCAATGAGAACCATGAGCAGAGGTGGAAAGAAATATGTAATGGTGCTAGTTGATGATTATTCTAGATTTACCTGGGTTCTATTTCTAACCTCCAAAGATGAAGCATTTGACATGTTTTCTGCATTTGTTAGAAAAACTCAGAAACAATTAGGAAATCAACTTGCCTCCATTAGGTCTGATCATGGAACTGAATTTGAAAACTCAAAGTTTGCTGAATTCTGTGATGAAAATGGTATAGATCATAATTTCTCTGCCCCTAGGACCCCTCAGCAAAATGGAGTAGTTGAAAGAAAGAATAGAACTCTTGAGGATATGGCTAGAACCATGCTACTCTCTAGTAAATTGCCTCACAGCTTCTGGGCAGAGGCTGTAAACACTGCATGTTACATAATAAATAGATGCATGACTAGACCTCTTGTTGAGAAAACTCACTATGAGTTACTTAAAGGGAGAAAACCAAACATATCCCATCTTAGGGCATTTGGTTGCAAGTGCTATGTGCACAATAATGGAAAAGACTCCCTAGGTAAGTTTGATCCCAGAAGTGATGAAGGAGTGTTCTTGGGATATTCTTCACATAGCAAAGTATATAAAGTGTTTAACAAAAGAACTTTGTGTGTTGAAGAAAGTGTGCATGTAGTATTTGATGAAACTAACATTCTTTCTGAGAGACAGGAACATGAAGATGAAGCCATTGTATTGGTAAAAGACTTGACTGAAGCATCAACTCAGGTTAAGTGGCACCAACAGAAGGAACAAGTGATGGAACAGGTTCTTCCATACAGGGCAACCTGACAGGGAGAAGAAATCAAAGAGGAATTGAGATAAACTTCTTGAAGGAACCTGTTCATGATCCTGTTCCTCAGCAAATGGCAGAAACATCTAGCAGAAGCCAGTTGGTTGTGAAACCTCACAAGTATCAAAGTTCTCATCCCATTGAGAACATTCTCACTAATCCAACATCTGGAGTTAAAACCAGATCACAATTAAATAATTTGTGTGCTTTTGATGCTTTTCTATCTATCATTGAACCTACAAATGTTATTGAGGCTTTGCAGGATGCAGATTGGGTGAATGCAAAGCAAGATGAGCTTAACCAGTTTGAAAGGAGTCAAGTTTGGCACCTAGTACCAAGACCAAAGGACAGATCAATCATTGGTACAAAATGGGTCTTCAGGAACAAACTTGATGAAGATGGAACAGTTACAAGGAACAAGGCAAGATTGGTGGTCCAAGGTTACAGCCAGGAGGAGGGCATAGACTATGATGAGACTTTTGCTCCAGTTGCAAGACTAGAGGCAATCAGACTCCTCATAGCCTTTGCAGCACACATGGAATTCACTCTTCATCAGATGGATGTCAAAAGTGCCTTCCTTAATGGCTACCTACAGGAAGAAGTGTTTGTGAAACAACCTCCAAGATTTGAAAGCAAGGAATGTCCTGAGCATGTGTACAAGTTAGACAAATCTCTATATGGGCTCAAGCAGGCCCCAAGAGCTTGGTATGAACGACTATCAAAGTTCCTACTGGAGCATGGTTACAAAAGAGGTAAAATTGATAGTACCTTATTCTTAAGGGAAAAAGGTAAGGATCTCCTTGTTGTGCAAATCTATGTTGATGACATAATCTTTGGGGCCACCACTGATAAGCTAAGTAAGGACTTTGCAAAATTAATGGGGAGTGAGTTTGAAATGAGCATGATGGGTGAGCTTAACTTCTTCCTAGGGCTGCAGATCAAACAAAGTCAAAATGGAACCATGATTCATCAGCAGAAGTATACAAAAGAACTAATCAAAAAGTTTAAAATGGAGGATTCTAAAGAAATAGATACACCTATCGCAACTGCCACTAAATTAGATGTTGATGAACCTGGTTCATCAGTTGATCAGAAGTTATATAGGGGTATGATTGGTTCACTCTTGTATCTTACTGCCAGCAGACCTGATATTGTTTTGCGTGTAGGACTTTGTGCTCGTTTTCAGGCAAATCCAAAAGAGTCTCACTTGACTGCTGTCAAGAGGATATTGAGATATCTCAAAGGAACTACTGATTTGTGTCTTTGGTACCCTAAAGGTAGTAATTTCAATCTAGTAGGATATGCTGATGCTGATTATGCAGGTTTCCTAGTGGATAGAAAAAGCACCTCTGGTATGGCACACTTCCTTGGTTCATGTCTTGTTTCATAGGCTACCAAAAAGCAAAATTCAGTGGCCTTATCCACCGCTGAAGCTGAATATGTGGTTGCAGCTTCTTGTTGTGCTCAATTGCTATGGATCAAACAATAGTTGGTAGATTTTACAATTGAAGTGGGATGTATACCAATATTTTGTGATAACACTAGTGCTATAAATATGACAAAGAACCCTGTTCATCATAAAAGGACCAAGCACATAGATGTTAGACACCACTTCTTAAGAGATAACTATGAGAAAGGATTAATCTCAATAGAATTATGTGCTACTGATAAACAAATAGCTGACATTTTCACTAAAGCACTGAATAGGGAAAACTTTGAGAGGAACAAGTTGGAATTAGGGATGATTAAGATCACCTGAAAGAACCAGTTCAGAATGCAATGAAAAAAAATTTGGTTAGAAGTTCTGACTTTATGTAAATATCTAGACTAATTCTTACTCAGTCTCATACTCTAATTAGTATACTCCTGTGACATGTGTTTATATTAATTCACTGATCCCTTACAAAGTTTTTTTCTATTCTGACATTTGAGGCATAATCAAGAGAAGTTCTACTTGAAGAACCTGGTTCATCAGTATACGCTCATGAGAAAGTTCAGGTATGTTTCTATACTTTGCACAATTAGAAAGATTAATTTTCCAATCATGAGCAGAAGTCCTATTGTCACCAAACTCCCAAAAATTATATCCGTTGAGCATTGAACCAGTTTCTTTCTCCTAGAATTCTAAGGAAAACGGGATTCTTGCCTAAAAACTAGCGTCGCCTATTAATCACTAAGAGACCGGAGTTCTAAAGTGATTAGACTCCTGATTGACTACTGCAAAAAGGCTGTCGTTACTGCACTTAATCATAACCCTCTTTAAATACACTCCACATACTCCCTTTTAGTCCATAACCGTCATTAATCTCTCCCAAGTTCTGATCATCCTCTTTCTCTCCAAAATTTCCAAAATTCCCAAAATTCTCCAGAAATCCTTCACCATGACAAACCCTCAAGATAACCCTGAAACTCCCCCACCAGTGTCTCCCTCAAACACATCCTCATCTACACCCCCTAGTGAAAACCCCAAACCTAGGTTTCGCCGGCAGAAAATGTTGGCAAGAAAAACTGTAGCTACTGGTTCTCTGAGAATAACCCTAAATGAAAAGTTGAGAGCTAGCCAGAAGAAAGAGAGCCCTGCTAAAGAATCTGACTCAAGTTCTGAGTCTGAAACATTTATCTCTGCAAGCGAAGGAGAAGAACGTGGGTCTTCTGACACTGACAAAAATCAAGAAACCCCTTGTGAGGTAAATACCTGTTTTGTGTTTTCTGATGTGGTAGAAATGGTGGAAAATAGGTTTGTGTTGGTTGGTTCTGTGAAAGATGTGAAGGAGGCTGAGTCTAGTAGAAGGGGAAAGAAAAAGAAAGACAAAATACTTGCAATCTGTGGAGGGGTAGAGGAAAGTGGCACCAAGTCAGGGGGAAGTGGGTCTGGTGAGGTTGCTGAAGGTCTTGTTCATTTGAGTGAACAACAAGATGAACCTAGTTCATTTGTTGAAGAAACCCTGGCTGACATCTTGAAGAAGGTTGGGGCCAGCTATGATCCAAAGAAGCGCAAGGCTTCTTCCCTAAAAGCTCCAATTGCTTCCATGCCAGCAAAGAAAAGCAAAGTGTCATCTCCTAAGTCTACTGTCCCTTCAAAGGGAAGAGCAACTAGAAGCACGGTTAAACAAAGTGAGGAAGAGTTGCAGAAAGCACTGGAAGAAAACAGGAAGAAAAAGAGGGTAAAAGGAAAGGCAAAAGTTGTGGAGAGTGTTGAGGTTGTAGAAGAAGAAGAAGAGATGGACCTGGTCCATCAAGAAAGAGGAACAACTGAAAAGGTTCCAACACCCAAACCAAAGAGTTCCAAGACTTCGACCAAGAAGTCATCCTCTGTACCTGCATCTGCTGAGCCCTCGTTGGCTAAAAGAACTAGATCTGCTGTGAAGGGAAAACAAAAGAAAATTATTAAAGAAGAAGAATGGAGTGGAGAAGAAGAAAAGGAGGAGTCTGAGAAAGAACATGATAGATTTGCCATTTTTGGCAGGAGAAAGATCTTGAAAGGCAGCTTGTTGAAAGACCTGGAGGAGTCAGGTATGATAAGATTGGTGGATGCCCTAGCTGCCCAAGGATGGAAGGACATGGTCCTTCAATTGGATGGGAAACTTGCCAGGAAGGAGCTGATTGAGTTCATGGCCAATGCCACTGTCAAGAATGGGGTTGTCACCAGCATGGTGAAAGGAGTAAAGGTGCAGTTTGATGCGCCTAAATTGGGTGAGATTCTAGACATTCCCAGTGTGGGATATGATGATTACACTAGGCAAAGGTGGCCTTGTCAGGATTCTCTTCCTACTGCACTCTAAATCACCAGAAACTTTTGTGATTCTGCAACTGCTGAAGATGTGCCTGAAGCCAGGTTTGTTCAGAAGAGTGAGATGAGGGCTGAGCACAAGGTGCTATTTGAGTTTGTGAACAAGTGCTTGCTGCCAAGGCAGGATGCACACTGCAAATTACATGGACTTGGTCCTCATGGAGTGCTTTGTGAGAGGAATACAGATAAACTGGCCTGCTTTTATTGTCAAACTACTGGATAGAGTCATCAATGGCTCCAAAGATCATGCCACACCATATGGGTTCCTATTGACTACTGTTCTGGAAAGGCTAAATGTGCCTTTGAAGAAGTGGGAAATGGCATCAAGCAAGGAGCACTTTGGTGTAAAGACTCTTATGGCTTGTGACTATCCAGTGAATGCTACCCAGTTGAACCTGGTTCATCTCTGCAGACTCCTGTGAACAGCAAGGTTAGGGCATTGGTTCAAGAATGTGGAACAAAAGATGCAGAAATTGCTAGGCTCCAGGCTCGTATTGCTGAATTGGAAAATGAGAGAAATGGACTCAAAGCTGAGCTAGCAAAGGAAAAGGAAAAGAGTGAAGGGATGCTTCAGACCATGCTCAACCTTCTCCAATCCCAACCCTCTAGCTCCTCCAAGCCTTAGGTTTTCCAGTTCCTATCTTTGTACCAGTCTAACCCCTAGTGACCCAGATTCGGGACTTTTCTTTATTTTTGTTGTTCATGGTTGGATGTTTTTCTTTCTTTTTGTGGTCTGTTTTGTAGAAACATTTCCTAATCAATGGCAATGCACTTTTTCTCTTGGTCTATGTAGCTTCTAATCTTAATAGTTAAATTTTTGTCAAGTTGATTATTGATTAACTGAATCATGTTTTCACTTGCAGTTGCCCCAGTGGCCATGAGTAATAATTAAAATCTGGGATTCACATTATATGCAACTTTTCGATGATGCCAAAAGGGGGAAGAGATATTGTGCTTTACTTTGTATTCTGAAATAAAGTGATATTTATAACCAGATTAAACCCGGTCCTTAATGATAAGTTAGATTTCTAAGTTAAAGTGTTGATAATTAAGCTGAGTTCCACAGGTTCTCTGATCAGTAAAAGCACAGAGTTTGTCATCATCGAAAAGGGGGAATTTGTTGGCCCAAGTTCAGATGAAGTTTTGAAGATTGACAAATGAACTCAGTCATGAACCAGGTTCATCATGAGAGACACAGTGGTTATCTACTTATACATGTGAGATGCACGTGAAGAAGATAAGTCTCAAGGATCAGCAACAATATCTTCTGAACTGATCGAAAAGTTTGCATAAAGGATAAGGAGATGAAGTCTCCTAATGTGAAGAGAACTAAATCCTGATCAAGAATAAGGGTTGGAGTTTGTATTGTTCTAGGACTCGAATTCGATGAAGGATCAGCAATTGAGTTTCAATCAAACTCTGATTACTAACTCTTTAAATAACTATGATTGTTCTCTTTTACAGGTGTTGCACATACGCAGAAGTTAAAACTAAGTTGAGAGCAAAAGAGCTAGGCATTTTGCAAGCAATTTATGTGAGATTCAAGTGTGCATTCCTGAAGCTACTTGCACAAGATAGAAGAACCAATTCCATTGTGTTTATTCTTATTCTAGTTCAATTGTAGTAGGTGGTTTAAAGTTGTACCTTTCCAGCTTTCATAGAAGCAATTGTATTAGATACTTTGAGTATTCAAGTTAGAGTTAACTTGAAAGTGTTGCAACAGTTGAGGCTGTGTGCCACACTGGGATTAGAGTTTAATCCTTAGGTTTACAAGAGTTTTGTAAATGCTGTTTGGCTTAGTGATTTTAGTGGAAGTTTGGGAAAATCCTACTGAGTAGTAGGTCGTGGTTTTTTCACCTTTTGAGCCAGGTGTTTTCCACGTAAAAATCTCTGTGTTCTCTATTTTTTTGTATTTATTATTCCGCAAACAGCAATAGTTAGTATACCTAGAAGAACCAGGTTCTTCTAGAGCGAAAATTGGGTACCACACAAACCAACCCCCCCCCTCTTGTGTGGTATTGACGTTAAGAACATCAATAAAATCCGGGCTAGGGAAAAAGAGTACGACTTGGAGGGCATTCGTTTTCAGAAGTTGAAGTATTTGAGGTGGGAGACGTTCCTATTGTTTTGTAGTAGCTTTCCTTCCATTGTTTCTAGTTGGAATGATCCTTTGTTTGCTGCTGCTGTGATTTTGTATGGCCCGTCCCAATTGGTTCCTAGTTTACCTTCTCTTGAATCTTCGCTCGCCTGTGTTTTGGCCTTGAGTAGATAGTCTCCGACTTTGAGTGGTCGTACTTTGGCTTTTTTGTTGTAGTACCATTCTGCTTGTTGTTTTTGGGCTATCATTCTTATGTAAGCTATGTCTCTTCGCTCCTCTGCTTCGACGAGGTCCTGCTTCCTATTCTCGTTGTTGCTTAGTCCGCTTTCATTGGAGTATCTCAAACTAGGTTCCCCGACCTCGACTGGTATCATGGCGTCAGTCCCATAGACAAGTGAATATGGCGTTTCTCCTGTGCTTGTTTTTGGTGTGGTGTGATATGCCCACAGTACTTCTGGTAGGAATTCCGACCATAATCCCTTGGCGTCCTCAAGCTTTTTCTTCAATATGTTTAGTATTATTTTGTTAGCGGATTCGGCCTGGCCGTTGTCGGGAGGGTGATATGGCGTGGAGAGTATTCGCTTGATGTGCCATTTTTCGAAGAATTTAGCGGTCTTTTTTCCGGTGAATTGGGGTCCGTTGTCACAACTGATTTCTTTGGGGATGCTGAAGCGGCATATGATATTTCTTCATATGAATGTGATAACTTCTGTTCGCGTATTTTGGCCAACGCACCTGCTTTTACCCACTTGGAAAAATAGTCAGCTAAAACTAAAAGAAATTATATATTACCTCGCCCCGCTGGAAGGGGTCCGATAGTGTCCATTCCTTATTTGATGAACGGCCATGGCGATGTAACCGAGTGGAGGTGCTCGCCTGGTTGGTGTATCATAGGGGCGTATTTCTGGCACTGCTCGCACTTCTTGACATAGTCGGCGACTTCCTTCTTTATTGTGGGCCAATAATAACCCGCCTGAATGAGGCATCTAACGAGGGCTCGGTTGTTGGTATGGGCACTGCAGTGGCCTTCGTGTACTTCCTCGAGGACGCGTCTTGTTTGGTTCGGCCCTAGGTATTTCGCCAAGGGGCCCCCAAACATTCTTTTGTATAGGTTGTGGTTTATGATGCTGTACTTGGCTGCCTGCATTCGAAGATATTTGGCTTCCTTTTTGTCTGATGGGAGTACTCCCTCCTGCAAATATATTATAATACGGTTGCGCCAGTCCCAAGTCAAATTTACAGAGTGTACCTCAAGTTGGTCTATTAACGAGTGGGGGAGGGTGACCACGCTTTCTTTTGTAATGCTTTTGGTGGCCGCTGCTAACTTGGCGAGGCCATCTGCCTCGATGTTTTGTGCTCGAGGTATCTGGTCGAGTCGATATTCGTTGAATTCTGGCAGTAGTTTATGAATTTCTTCCTGGTACTTTTGTAGCCTCTGCTCTTTGATTTGGAAAATCCATGTGACTTGGTTAACAACGAGTTGTGAGTCACATCTGAGGACGACTCGTCGTGCTCCATATTTGAGAGCTAGCTTAAGTCCTGCAATTACGACCTCATACTCGGCCTCATTGTTAGTCATATCGGGGCACCGTTTGGATTGGCGGATGACTTCGCCCATTGGGACCTCGAGTACAAGTCCCAGTCCAGATCCTGACGCGTTGGATGCGCCATCGGTGTATATGACCCATAGGTCGGGTAGCCTGGAAGAGGTACGAGTAGTTTCCTGCTCGACCTCGGGCATTATTTTGGGACTGAAATCGGCAACGAAGTCGGCGAGTACCTGCGATTTTATCGTTGTTCGTAACTGATATATGATATCGTGCTCGCTCAATTCTATGGCCCACTTGGCTAATCTCCTTGACAGTTCGGGTTTCTGTAGGATGCTCCTTAGGGGGAAGGTCGTCACCACCGATATGGGGTGGCATTGAAAGTATGGTCTAAGCTCTCGTGAAGCTACGACCAATGCCAACGCCAATTTTTCGAGGTGGGGGTACCTTGTTTCGGCAATGACCAGGGTTTTGCTGATGTATTAAATCAAAGATTGCGTACCTTTGTTTTTACGGACCAGTACTACACTTACTGTGACCTCTGACACGGCCAAGTATATCAGGAGGCGCTCAACGGGTTCTGCTTTGGCTAGTAGTGGGGGCGAGGAAAAGTATGCCTTTAGTTCTCTTAAGGCCTCGATGCATTCTTAATTCCACTGGAGCCTGTTGTCCTTTTTTAGCACGTTGAAGAATTTATGGCACCTGTCGGAGGATCGTGAGATGAACCTCGACAGGGTGGTTACACGGCATGTCAGTTTTTGCACCTGTTTCTTACGGGTTAATACTTCAGGTATTCCCTCAATGGCTTTGATTTGGTCGGGGTTGACCTTGATGCCTCTTTGTGATACGAGGAAGCCGAGGAACTTGCCCAAAGTTACGCCGAAGGCACATTTTTTGGGGTTTAGCTTCATGCTGTATTGCCTTAGTATACCGAAGGCCTCTCTCAGGTGGTCGATATGGTCCTCCTTCCTTTTTTATTTTACCAATATGTCGTCTATATAAACTTTCATTATTTCCGAGTTGGTCCTTGAACATGTTTGTGACTAACCTTTGATAGGTCGCCCCTGCGTTCTTCAACCCGAATGACATGACTCTGTAACAGTACGTCCCCTGGTGGGTGATGAATGTAGTTTTTTCCTGGTCCTCCTCCTCCATGAGGATTTGGTTGCAAC